GTCCCGCTTTATGGCGGGATTGTGCGCAAATGAAAACTACAATTCCAACTATTTCAGTAAGTGCAGCTCTCACTGATGTACGGTACCGAATAATTCGAGAGGCTTCGGACAGCGCAGTAGTTACCATTGTAATAGTTATTCTTTATCAAGTTACTGTTCTATTAAATCATAAAATAGAGAAGTTTCCTGATCTAATGATTTCAGAAGTACGGTATCACGCATGTTGTGAACTTATCGATCTCTTGTCCACGGCCGAAATCGATTGAGAACGACAAGAATTTCTTTCGAATACCGGTGAATGACTCGTACCAGGAGAAGTTGTCACAGTATTTCGACGAAGCATGGGTGTTTCTAGGTGAGTCACTGGGACAACACAGATGTCCACGCCATTGTTTAGTCGGATACGACGCGTTCTTTTGTGCAAATGTGCGTCATTCGCAGAGCCTAAGTGTCTAGTAGATTTACTATTTACCAATGCAAGAAAAGACGTCAGCACAAAGAGCAAAAATTGCTGCGATTGATTTTTTGGGGGACATGAATTTCGCAGTTTCGATTTCCTTCCCCTCTCCCTTGAGCGTCAAGCCATCGTGAGGTTTTCTTTGCAAAGTAACGTTTCATATTTCAGAAAAGGTGCGCACGGAAGGAAAAGTGGTGCTGATTCACTGTCTTGCGGGAATATCAAGAAGTCCGACGCTGGCCATTTCATACGTTATGCGATACAAGAACATGTCATCTGAAGACGCTTATAGGTGAGCAAATTGAATTGAATTTGCTTCATTCGGATGGTTTAGGGGGTCATCAGTGGGCGGGAAGCTTTATGGGTACTGGAAAGATTCGTTGATCAAAAATTGCACACAGCTGTCTGCCAGCATCTGGCGATGCGGCGCCCTGAGTTGTACAGCTGATTCTATAGAATTGAAGGCTGAAATACTCCCACCGTTGTTACATTGTTCTCGTATCTATTCTTTATGACAAAGAGGTGAAATAGGTGTTCTAAATATGGGAGGTTCCAGTGGATATTGCGCTACAGTTTTGCAAAGAAGAGGGGTCAAATTGTCCCAGATGGTGGAATAAGGTTATAGGGGAGGTTCAATTGAGAATAGGGTTGTGTAGAAATTTCCCAATGTCTTTTCCTGGGCTATTTATGCCCTAGTTCGCCCCTCTCTTTGTTATTGGTCGGATTAAATTGCCTAAAACCTAATACTGAATCTAAATCTGATGGTTCCTGAATCATTGAGATTGTGTCAGTGTAACTAAAAAACTGCATGGAAACCCACTTCTACCCCCCCCCCCCCCTTCCTTCTGTTCGTAGATCACAGGGTTATTCGTAGGGCTGGCAGTGTAGTTTTGTGGCAAGTGTCCGTAATTGGATGCTGATCTACGAGAACGTGAGAGTTATTCAGGTTCTGAAGGCTGAAGGAAGATGATGATGATGTGAAACACAGTATTGACAACGGCGAATCATCGGGTCTCACACGAAAATTACAGACTAGTCAAGGAGAAACGCCGTCGATTTCACCGAACTTCAACTTCATGGGGCAACTGCTTGAATACGAGCAGTTACTGATCAAGAAAGGCCTCTTGTCAGCAGAGGCCTCATCGAAGCGTATTGATCGACCGATTTCATTCAAGCAGGTTTTCGCTGCCGAGGTTTGTTCAGTTCTCGTCTATACGATTTCCATTACTACTGAGAGGTGTTTTCCATTTCCTAGTTGATTTTTCACGTTTGGGAAGATTTCTGGGGCCGTATGCTACCTCTACCGAGAAACGCTCTTACATTCTTTTTTCCGCTTCTTAGCCTAGGAATGGGGACAGGGTTTTGCTGTGGGTAGCTCGTTTGAAAGTTGGTTCGTAGGGACTGCTTTGCCGTTGATAGCTCTTATTTCCTGGGGAAGTGGCTCGATCTACTGTCGGAACGCTAGAGCGGATTTGGCGGATCCAGATGCCACACCTGTCTGCATCTGCCTTAGATTATTTTATGTCTGACGAGACGGGCGGGTCCCCCGGGGGGGGGGGGGTGAGTGAGGAGTAGTGGGACAGCATAACGGCTCTAGTTTTGAGCTTGTTAGCATTATGAGTTATTATGATCCCATAAAAACCCGCTTGGGTTTCGCTTTTGCAGTTTCATCTGCAATCTTCATGCAATGCTTTTCAGGATTCTGACGAGCCAATTTGTCCAGCAACGAAAGTTCCAAAGTCGGCATCTGCACATTGCGTGTTTTTCGAACGGCCACGCGACATTGGTGTACCAGTAGCTCGAGTGAACGAGAATGGAAAACGCGGCCTTAGTGATCCTCTCGATCGACCGAAGGTGCTTGGTCTGTACAATGCGGAATCAAAACGAATAGCGGCCGAAGAACTGCCGTCACCGTCTACTGAACTCTCAAAGCTTACCTTCACCGGTCTTCCCTCGCCAACATCGCCAACTCTAGGGGAAGGCCGGAGCTTGTCGCTGTCGAATCCCTGCTTTGTCTCACCAACGAGAGAAACGCTTCAACCCGAGACGGTCACTCATACAGAAGAATGCGAGACGAGTCGGCGCAGCTATTTCAAGCATCGTTTCGTGTCACTTTTTAAGGTTTGTTGCTCAGATTTGCTAAGAGAAGAGGTTCATGCAGGAATTTTCCCACCTTGCTTCACGGGTTATCCCCCGAGAGATTCGTTGGGAGAAGACAACTTGAAATTAATGACCGCGAAGAGATCAGTGTTCAAAGAACGTGTGCTAGATTAGTCCGAGCGTGTGAAGTGTTTTTGAGAGGCTCCCTGCTGTAACATTCGCGATGACTCATTTCTTCCCTTGTTTTTACTCAAGAGACTTAATTGATGAGCTAGCTTTCCTGCTTTGAAGAAAAAATTTCAGTCCCATCCAAGTCCGACGTGTTGTGTGCAATCGCCACAGTTGACCGCTAGTCGTCCGGAGAATCTCCAGTCATCTGGCATTCCATTCTTCGGTATCAGCAGAAAAGTCACGAAGACCAGTCCGCTGGTAACTACAGCTGAAGAAGCAGAATCACCTGAATCTGGCTATCAGGTTGGACAAGGATTATTTTTAAATGCTTGTTAAATAAATCGCGTGCACGGTTAAGTCACTTTACTTTTCTGAGGCCGTGTGTAGCAGTACCAGGCCAGGGGTGGGTCCCTAAAACTGCATTTCTGAATGCATTCCCCTATTCTTGCCATGAGGACTG